TTTTGTTTTCAGTAGCTTGGTTTTATGCTATCTTTTTTTGTTTGTTTGTTTTTGTTCTTCTGTTCATCCTGACCTTTTTAAATAAATGCCTTCCTTTCTAGGTTAGGTAGACAAAAAGATATACACCAGAGGCCATCCACACTGCATACCCACTTCACAGCTCAGGCTTCTCCAGGGGTTGCTGTTTTTTTCTCTAGTAAACCCACTTATTTATGCAGCTTGATCTGTTTTCCACATGAGAATATTCATGTTTCCCAGGGTCTTGAAGCTCTAATCAGAAAATGGCACGTTTTTAAACCAGCTAGTTTGAAATGCCAAATGACAAATACATGAAAATAGTGACACAGGGTAAGACCCAAGATCCATCTCCTCCAAGAACTTGTGGCCCACAGCAAATGCTTTGGGAAGAGTGTAGGAAGAGGGTGAGTCTGCAGTGATGCTGCTGCAGACCACTCTCCCTGCCTACAACTATTTGCAGCTTGGGGACTTCCCGAGTTGAAGTTGACATAAGCTCTTATCTTCCGTTACCCCTGCTGCTCTTTTGGTTAATTGCATTTGGCTATATTAAAATGCATAGTATGCAAATGAGCCCAGTTTGATAAGCAACGTGTTAAGCCCTTATAAATGATTCTTCTTTGCAATGTCAGTGTTTGTGTCTTCTATAAATTTTATGAGGTAAATTTTTGTGTATCATCTGGTTTCTACCTAATTAAGTAAAAATAGGTTGCTATATAACTGCAGTGGAAACATTTTACTGAATAATAAAGTGGAAACATTTTACGTTTACAATTATTTCCATTAAAGTGGAAATAATAAGTGGAAACATTTTACGTTGCTATATAACTGCAGTGGAAACATTTTACTGAATAATCCTCATTTACAGATATCTGCAATTTCTCCATTAACAAGCTCTTAATCTATTCATTGAGGGGATTCATTGCTTTTTATAGTGATATGGTGACTAAAAGCAAGTGTGTTTAATTTGAATGCTTCATAGAGGCACATTATACTCTGCTGACACTCCTGTCTTGACCACCTAGGCCTATATGTAATTACTTTGCATAATTACGGAACTATTTTTTAATTTGTTATTGACTGCATTATATCACTGTTTCTATGAATTTGCCTGCTACGTACATTATGACAAATAGGCTATTGCTATCTGAATCGTTTTGCATGCTCTTTGTTTAAATGAGAACATACGGTTACTCTGGAACTTGCACAGCTCTGAGATGAGTTAAAGGTTAACGGGCATGGTTCAAAGAGCTCCTGGGCACAAAGATCCCCTTTCTGAAATGTAAAACTCACAGTCCTAGCAGCTACAGGTTAATATCCTCTCTAACCACTAATGGAAAAGAGAATAATTAGTTATCAGTGCTTTTTTCTAAATGCAGATCAAAATATTTATTGAACACTTTTACTGCATCGTTAAAGAAAATTGTATCCTTATAAGCGAATAGCAGATTTATACTATTTCAAGATTGTCTTTTGTTCTTGATGTGTTTAAGGAGTAGCTTTTATTCTTTAATAATTTACAGAGTAAAAGTTTTTATTGTCCTTAAACCTGTTGACTGTTGGTGCCTTTTGTTCACCATTTTGTGTGCATTTCCTTGCCAATAGCTTGTATTCATTATTATCGCATCTCAAGGTTTTCTTGGTTTTACTCCCTACTTCTCTGTAAACAGACTGCTGTCTGTTGTCTTCATAGCTGTAGGACTGTAGGGCTTAGCTACCCAGTAAGGCATTCTTAACTTAAACTCATTATTCACATTTTTGTGGGTTTTTTTCTTTCCACTTAGAGTGAGGTTGGATCCAAGTTTTGCCGTTTCTTATATTAGAAAGAAGATGGAGACTATCCTTAGTATTCTTTAACCAGTGGCTTTGGTGTTGCCCCTCATTTACACTTTTTTAGACTTGGATATTATTTAATGGTTTTCTATAACTGGAACAAATTAAGCACATCGGATAATATGCAACTGCAGAATGCATCAGCACTCACAAGTCACTCCATATGGCAAAGTTTTCTTTCTGTCCCTGTCTTTCTAGTTCTGAAAAATTTATGTCTTCTTGCATTGAGCAAAATGTACATCACCGTTAGCAACTAGCTCTGACAGTTGATAAGTTCTGTTTTATTGAGCAATAAGTTAATGTCATATCAGCTGCTAGAACTAACAGTTTTCACTCATGCACACTGAACTATGGTGTAATCCCTTAGGCTAGGCTCTCTGTCAGTTCACTTGCTGCTTACATGAAGATGTGATTTTACCATAGCAACCAGTTAGACTATTATACAGAATTCTTCTGTTATCCAACCTCATCACAGCTAAGTGTAACTGGTGTAGGCTGTAAGAGAGGTGGGCAGTTTACACTGTATGTCAAATATTGTACAAAGAACTGCATATAAATCATATGAATATTGCTAAGCACAGACTAATTAAGACACCACAATTACAGAGAAATGAAATTCATTCAGTTGATAAAGAGCATCGCTGATGAGGGATCCATTTTACTAAAGCAGTTTAAAATAAGCATAGTCCCGTACAATGTCAAGAATGAGAGAATTCATTCAAATTTAGGAAAATGTGTGTCTTTTTCAGAATAATTTTTCTCTCTGAAACCAATACAAATCAAAGACCCAACTCTTCTAGATTTCTGACTGCTGGATGGGTTTTGTTTCCTTGTTTGAGAAAGCACTGGGGGCTTGCAGAGTTCAGTAGTATGAAGCCTCATCACAAAAAATACAGACAGACAAATATTTTCCCAGATTCAGTGAAGTAATTTAGTAAACTCTCCTGTAAATTGTAAAGCTTCAGAAGAGACACTGATTAAAGTGGTATCTGGCAGTTTTTCCAATGAAATTGTATCAGGTTACTAGTCAAAGCAAGATACCTACACATATGTACATGATCGAGATATATATAACATTTTCACCAGTTCTGAAATGTTAGCCTCAGTTTTGAAATTCAGTCTGTGATCACTCTGTTTTGCCTCCACTGACAAACATCCTAGAAATACGGCATTTTTTTCTGATGATGCTTCAATCAAATAGAAATGCATTTCTTGCTCTTTTCAAGACTTACAGAAATTCTTATTCCAAAGTTTTGGAGGCTGTAGGAAATATAGTAGCTTGTCTCCTTGGTGAACATAAAGGAGTTATTTGTCTCAGCTGAACATAACCACACAAATTACAGGAATGCATACAGGCCTGGATTCTGACCAGAGCCCAACTATGTAAATCCAGGGTTGCTTCAAACTTTTACTAAGCCTGCTGGGGATTTACACAGCTGTAGGAAGAAAGAATTTATTCTAGTTCATATAGAGAAGGCATGGGCAATTATACAAACACTTTTTTGGGCACAAGTAGACTTCTATGGTTACATACTACTGTTATTACCAAGACCAAGACACATTTTTAAGCATTTTCTATATCCTTAGAAACAGCACTGAGTGCTTTGTGCAGATATGTTTAGATTTAGTGAAGAGAAGATTTTAGGCAGGATCTTTGTTCATGATGAAGGAAGAAAAAGAATTTTTTAACAGCAAAATGCTGGCTCTTGTGCTTAAGATGTATGCATTGAAGGGAAATGGCAGGGGAGAACAAACATCATATTCAAGATCTGAAGATGGGTGCATGTGAACACTTTGCCTCTAAACCTTTGAGCCAAACTACAAAGTGTTCGCTCTGGGCTCAGGGCTGAGTGGTTTCCTCTGTTTCGTACACGTGAGGCACAGGAAAGACACAAGACCTGACACCACACTCCTCCTCTTTGCTTCTCGCTTCTTCTCTGCTTGCTATTTCACAGAAACAGTCAAATTTTCTTAAAGATTGTGGGGAAGTCTCTCAAAACAGCACAAGCTGAGCCTTATGCATGCAGAGATATGTAGTAGTGCTGCTGGATGAAAGGGTGGATATTTGAAAGGAAACATACAAAAAGATGTGGGGGAGAAACAACTCCTGACCACACACTGTGTTCGGGTGCCTAAGGGATCCATGGTCTCCCAGGGCACTGCAACAAGAACCACCTCTCTTCCCCCACACACAGGAATTGGGAACTGAGGAGCCCTAATCTTTCCTTTCCTTCCTTGTGCAAGCTGTTCCCTGCAACACTGACAGCACCACCAAGCTGTTCTAACAAATCTCTGCGTTGTTTTGCACAGCTCTGTGACACATGAAGCACAGCCACCTCCATGCATAGCAGCATTCCCAGCATCTCCAGCCAGCTCTGGGTCTCAAAGCTGGTGTTTGGCTGAAAATACTTTCTGTTGGAGTTTCTGACATTACAGATTTCTTAAGGCTTGCAGCACTCCCATGTTCTTGAACAGTATGAGATACTGCTGGGCAACCTTAGTGCTGCATTCACTCAGGCTTTTGTCAGTGCAGAGAGCTAACCCCAGGTGTTAGATACTCTGAAGGACAAAGGTCGGTTCTACACCATCCACAAAGTAAAATTTATGTATATGTAATATTTTCTTGCAGCATCATGCTGGCCTTTTTTGCATATGACAGCTACTTGCCTCATACTGGGGTATCAAGGAGTGGGGACTGTGTTCTCCTCAGGGTGTTTGGGTATAATCACTTGGCCGCTGCAGAAGTAGGAGTAGGAGTTCAAAGACTTGCTGTCCACCAGTTGCTGGAGATCACTTCTCTGCTGGAGATTGATGCCACACACCTGAGCCATACTGAGGGATCATGCAACATATCACACAGCTCATCCATGGGCTAGGCATGGCTATGCTATTAACATTTTTAACTGCTCCGGTTGCATCTGTAAGAGTGTATCTGCCATGCATTTTCTTTAGTTGAACCATTTTGTTTTCTGACTGTATGCATTTTCCCTTGTCTTTGTGTGGGTTTATCTTAGAGTATGGACAATGATTGCTTTGGAGAAAGCTGTAGGAGTCTAATTCACTGCTGTCTGCTATGTTTCAGGTTGCTTTCAAGTGAATGGGAAAGGAGAGTCTCACTCATTGCTATTATTTGTTAATTTTTCCTGTTCAGATGCAGATGGATAACTGGACATCTAATACCCATGTTCAGAAGACATGAATTCCAGAAAATTACTCTCAGAAACACGGAGAACATTTCCTGCTACTAAAGTACACTGCCAGCAGCCATCGCGGATTCTCATTGTGGATGTCACATCACCTTCCTGGACCAACACTTGTTCTGTACTCTCTGAAGCTCTGGAAAACACACTCTGTTTGGCGTGCAGTTTGACAGGCCCCTGCCGTGTTCCCCTGCTGAGCCTCTACGTGGTGCAGAACCAGCAGGAGTGTCTGCTTCCCTTTACGGTATGTGTGAAATTATGTCTCTTGGGATCTAACAAACATGAATGCAATACATTGCTGCAGTTCAGTGAAGAAAGTTATGATTTACTACATATGTATATGTAAAAATTAATTATTCTCAAAAAGCATCGTTTCATAGACTTCATGGAAGAGGTGAATTTTATGAAAGAATGATGTTTAAAAGGAAGTGTGTTGTATTTTTGATCTGTGAAGTCACTCGTGCATAGATTAAGTTTTGTGCTGTTCCCTTCTAAAACATCTGTTGTACCTCTTCCTTTCATATGCTACTTTCTGCACTATCTGCACTGCTTCTCTAACAAACACAGCTCTACAGCTGTAACAATTTGGATGGTGAAATGGTCTGTATACCTGTTGATTACACAACTATTACCACTTCGGGAGAGATTCCAGACATTTAAGGGGAAAGGATCAGAATTCAAAATATTTTTGCCAAATTTGAGAAATATCCTGAAATCATAGAATCGTTTGGGTTGGAAAAGACCCTTAAGATCATTGAGTCCAACCGTAAACCTAACACTGCCAAGTCCACCACTAAACCATGTCCCTAAGCACCACATCTACACGTCTTTTAAATATATAGATCTAAGTCAGTAAGAACAAGTATTTCACTCATCTAGGGATATGCAGCAGCATAAATATAGATGGAGAATGACTAGCAGCTCTACAATAAAAGTTTGGGATTACGAAGTATCATAAAGTTCACATGAATCTATGAAGTCATATGATTATAAACAGTCATACTGAGCACTCTTATTTACACTACATTAGTGTAAACACATGGTATTAACCCTTCCACTTTATTCAGCAATGGTGAAAACATTCTGAAATATTTTGTCAAGTTTTCACATCTCAGGAAAGGTAGAGGCCAACTGGGGAAAAAAAAAAGAGGTCAACAGTAATTTAGCAAATGTGATCTGCAAGAAGACTGTGGCTAATGGTGGTGTTTATTTTGTGGAATAGGTTATAGATAATGTGACAAGGATAACTAAGGGGATACCAAAGGAACATTTTCTGGAGATGTTGTGAAATCACTCTGATTAGGGGCTTTAAGAACAGACACTTGTCTTGCTTCCTAGGATGAATATACATGTAATTCATCCTGGCATGTCACTGTAGGATGGACTAGGTAATCTGTTTCACAACTGGTGCCAGGCCTGTTTTCTGTGATTTTGCATTATGTCCAAGTTAATTTGTAAGTGTTTGGGGCCAAATGCCTGCTTTTGTATTTGCTAGGTATGTCCTGACACTGATCCAACATGTGCTGGCTGACGGCAATCTCAGATCTCATTTGGTAATCGTGGGTCACCAGAGCACAGCTGTACTTTGACACAATCCCTCTACTTGCCCCATCCTATGAATCTTCTGCTCATGATAGGCTGTCTTTTTTATTTAAACAACAATTCCTTATGTTGATAATCACGGTTTTTAAAGACAGAAGAACCCTTAGATCATTGTTTGGCTTCCTTCATATTACAGGCTATTATATTTCACTAAAGTACCCATATATCATTACAGCACTTCCTCCAGAAAGACATCTAGTTTTGATGTGAAGATATTACAAGATGGAGAATCAAGTACTTCTGTTGATAATTTCTTCCAGCGGTTAATCATTGTCATTGTGAAACTTGCACCTGGTTTCTAATTTGCATTTATTGGCTTTAGCTTCCAGGGGTCTCTTAATATATTTTCTTTTTTGGCTAGATTGAAGAACCTGCTTGTATTTTATACTTTCTTCCTCTAAATATAAGCAGGTCCCTTAGTCTTCTAGCTGGTAAATGAAAGAGAACAAAGTGTAAGTCTAACTGCAAGGCATTTTTACAGGCCCTTAATAACTTCCAAGCCCTTCTATGTATTCACTCTTCTGGTTTTTTGGATGCTACATTCCAATACTGGACTCAGTAATGCTGTACAGAGAGCTAAAAAATACCCCCTCCTCCTGTTTGCGTGACTGGTAATCACATCAACTCTTTTGCCATAATATTGTGTTTCTCTGGGACTTGTCCAAGACAGCAAATACTCAAAGACTTGAGCTAGTAGTGCATACCCGGTTGATAGGCACAACTCTAGTGTGAGTCCCCACTCCCCTTCTCCCCAGCGTTGTTTGGATGTTCTGTCTAGTGAGCCATCTCTTTATTTTAGACATCTGCTGTGGTGCTGAAGACTGTTTTTCAGAACTGTTCTTTCTCTATTAGGAACAGTAAAGTATAGCAAGATGACTATCTTCTTCAATGGACCTAATTTCACTAACAATGATACCTGGTCCTCTGCAGCTTCTGGAATCAGGAGCAGTTTTACATTTCTATCTGATAAACATCTGTTCCGTTTCAGCCTTCTTCAGAAATACTAGGGCTCCATTGCTTTTTCTGTACTCCTGAATTTGCCCCTTTGTCTCAACAGGGCATGCTGTTTATCACATTGACTTTCTGATCTAGCTAGAGAAAAACTTGCTACTTCTCAGTGAGGAACCAAGACAGAGCTATATTAAAGGTTGCTTATTAGACAAATCATATAAAGCCAGGAAAGCCCCAGAGCTGAAAATAGAGATCGGGAGAGTACATGGGGAAGTGTCATATACGGTTACCCTTTTCTTAGTCTTTCCTGGGCATTTGTTTATGGTCTCTGTTCCTACTGGTCTCCCCTATTGGCCTAACTCTAACAAGTCCAAAGAGCTTCCCTGGCAAGGGCAGGGGGGTGCCAAAGAAAAGGAAGGAAGACAGTAAATAATCGTGGAGGACAACAGATGGTGACAAGAGGGGAAGTGAGCATTAAAGCATCAAAAAATTTTAATGTGGGACGGAGTAAGGACTCTGAGCAGAGCACCTCCAGCTGATGGGCTCTGTTCCTACTGGTTTTCCCTTGGGCTGGGCAGCCATCCCCCACAAGTCCCAGACCCTCCCTTGACAAAAAGGGCTGAAAAAGAAACAAGAGAGAAATACGTTAACTACAGGGACTGGTGAACTAAGAAAGTGAAGTGGGTGAGGATACAACACGTGGAAGGAGCCAGGCGGGGCAGTGAGCACTGTGCCTACCCCGGCTCGTGGCCAGCTTTGATCTCTCATTTTGGTAGCTTTTCTCTGGAAGCAATGTAGTGTTGCAGATTAAAATGTTTTGCTGGACACACAGTGTGAAGCTATGAATTCTTGGAACTATGTAATGAAGGGACAGGGTCACATGTGAAGAGATATGTCAAGGCCTATGGCACTGGGCTGGGTGTCAGCGCGCAGAAGAGGGGTGCAGTCAGAAATAGTTAAACAACACAATTTGTGCTTAGACGTTTAACTTATGCCCCCAAGCACATTCCAGAGTTGAAACTGCAGCTTGCGTAGACTCACCTAAGTTAACATTTAAAGTAGCTGTGCATATGCAAGAGAAAAATTCAACTCTGCTGGTGCCAGTGCCAAAGGACAGGTGCTTAACTGGACTTCAGGCTGCCCTGCAGCCTATGCTGAGCCCTGTTCTGCCACAGTTAGGAGCAATACTTGGCCTGAGACAGCTGGTTTACATCTGTGTGGGCTGCAGCTGCCTCCTGGGATTACAGGGCAGGCATCTGAACTGCAGGGAATTTTGCTGTAGCACTTTGAAAAGGCTCCTGGCTGCATCTGCTTGGTGCATTTATCAAAGATTGCTAACCTCACAGCAGAACTGACATAATGGGCCAGATACTTCTTGCACTGTAGGGTACGGTGGGGGATTAAGAGCAGCCCTGCTGAGAAGGACTTGGGGGTACTGGTGGATGAAAAGCTGGACATGAGCCAGCAATGTGCGCTCGCAGCCCAGAAGGCAAATTGTATCCTGGGCTGCATCAAAAGCAGCGTGGCCAGCAGGTCGAGGGAGGTGATTCTGCCCCTCTACTCTGCTCTGGTGAGACCCCACCTGGAGTACTGTGTCCAGGTCTGGAGCCCTCAGCATAAGAAAGACACGGTCCTGTTGGAGCAGGTCCAGAAGAGGGCCACGAAAATGATCAGGGGGATGGCACACCTCTCCTATGAAGAAAGGCTGAGAGAGTTGGGGTTGTTCAGCCTAGAGAAGAGAAGGCTTCAGGGAGACCTTATTGCAGCCTATCAGTACTTAAAGGGGGCTTATAAAAAAGATGGCGGCAAACTCTTTAGCAGGGTCTGTGGCGACAGGACAAGGGGGAATGGCTTTAAACTAAAGGGGGGTCGATTTAGACTAGATATAAGGAAGAAATGTTTTACGCTGAGGGTGGTGAAACACTGGCCCAGGTTGCCCAGAGAGGTGGTGGATGCCCCATCCCTGGAAACATTCCAGGTCAGGTTGGACGGGGCTCTGAGCAACCTGATCTAGTTGAAGATGTCCCTGCCCACGGCAGGGGGGTTGGACTAGATGACCTTTAGACGTCCCTTCCAACCCAAACTATTCTATGATTCTATAAAACAGTGTGGTGTCTTTCCTTAAGACTGCTCTCTTCACCATTCTGAGGTGAGGTTTGAGACGTCCCAGCTTTCTTCCTCACCTTATTTGCAGAACCGTCAGAGCTGTTTGTGAACACGTGCCTGAGCCCCCCAGTTCATAACTTAAGTCACACTGAAAGACTATGCTGTAAACCATGGCTGCTCAGGAGCGCTTCAGTGAGTCAGAGCTCCAAGCATCTGAAGCAAACGAGTCATATGTTCATCTGTTGCCTCTTCTGTGAGGAAGGTGACCTCTGGCAGCAGTGTCTTATATTGCTTCAAACAGATTTGGTAAAGTTCACTAATAATCTCTCCTATGGCCAGAATTTGCCAGTTTACCTGCTGGGTATGTCTCAACTCCTTTGAGTTCTTGTTGAAGCTCAGGTGAGCTGACATTGGTGTGAATGCTAGCTGAGATGCTCCACACACCTTTGGATCCTGGGTGCTCTCTAGCATTGTCATGTCTATGCTAAAGAAAGGTCATGGCTGGGTAATAGATAGCAGGTAGCCTCAACTAATATTGCGTGGAAAAAGAGTACGAGAGGGGTCTACCATGATCCTGGCCAGCCTGGTTCATGTTCAGACTGCCTTCTGTGGATTTAGGTGACCACTATAAAGTGATACCAAGTTCAAGGAAGTGCTGAGCAACATATGTGATATAAGGGTTTAGCAGCCCTGGACAGCAGGTAAACTAAATCACCATAGCAGGCAGTGAGAATATGGCCCAATATCCTCCAATACATGAGACTGACACAAAGCATCATAGTGGAGCACAATGGGTTAATAATCTGTGCATTTATAATGTTCATCTTGCCATAATGAGTCAGACCAGCTGTCCTCGGGGCAGCCATTGTACAGTGGTAGCTGTTGCCTGAAGGAATAAAACATTTTTACAAATGACAGCTACAGAATAATTTTTCCTTTCTAACACTTGCTCTGGTAGCTCATCTTTGAAGCAGGAGAGTCCACAGACCTTCCATCAGCGTTTGCTTCTTTGAGAAGCATTACTGTGGTGAATGTCCTAAAAGAGCAGTATAACAGCATAAGAAATGCTCTCCTGAGTCAGACCAACACTCCATCAGCCCAGTATCAAAAGGAAAAGCTATTTTGGGGGAGTGCCCCAGCCCAATCACTTTCTGCAGTTCATTCTCCTCACACTCCTGTAGTTCCACAGCTCTTGTGTTAAGAATGATAGAGGATACATTTGAGGCTATTCCTCTTGGTATCTGCTTCTAGACCTGTTACCCATGAATTTGTGGAACCCCTTTTTGAACCTGTTGCCACAGTCTGACTCCAAACCCTCCTGAACGCAGGTTCCAGAGGTCCACAGCTCGACGAGTAAAGGAGTACGGATATGGCAGGGGTGACTATGGCCTGGGGATATCACAGCACCTCAGTACTCCTCATTTATGTTTCAAGTTCTGCCTCTGTCTTATACAGGGGAGAGGGGGCATGCCGAACTACTACATTTTGGCTAGCAGCAGGCAACAGGTAGACAGCTGAAAACTTGAGAAGTGTGTTGTTGTTACTAGCATAACAATGAGCTGGTTTTGATTCATATCACTGTTCACTGCTTTATGACTTAACTCCTGCCCCCAGTCTTATCTCAGTGCTGTGAATTCAAAAGCCTCCTTCCACATTATGGAAAAATATTTCATATTATCAGTTTGACATTTCCCATCTTTCAATTTCATTGAATACTGTTTTGCAGCAAGTGAAGGAAAACTTTGCACGAATTCAAGCCTGCATTTCGGAGCTCCGTTCGCTACCCAGAGAAGGCTGTTTCCCACAGGGGGGAAATGGAGTGGTACAAGCTGTGCAGGATGGATTGCAACAGTTCAAACAATACAGCAGACATGCAGCAGCAGGAGGCTCAGCAAATAGCTCTGTTGAGGTAAGAAAATGTTGGGAAGGTAGCGGGAGCCATCCACCAGACTTGCCACTTGTTAGCACATTAAGATGATAGTCTGTGTGGTATCTAAGGTCCATGGGAGGGAGAGAGTAATTAAGAAAATAAGCCCTCCAAAAAAAATCCATGTGGCAATCTCTGAATGCTTATGGAAACTAGACAGATTGAGGTTTGAGTTGCTTATGGAAACTGACTTTACGGTATAGCAAAATGAATTTAATTTCCAGGCATTTAAGATTGGATGTTTTTTCAGCTTTATTTTGATTACTTTCACAGAAGAACTGTGTCAAAGGCAAAGACATTCACAGTACTTATGGACATGATTTTCCTTTCAGCCTACAGTTACATTCTGCAGTTATAGTGTCTGGAACTTTCACTGATAAAAAGGATGTTTGTACAAAGATCCTCATTGTGCCTGAAAGCATGTCTACAATTCATTGAAAGTGAACTCATACAGACAAAAGAAATGCATTTCATCTTGAGAGTAGTTGGTATAGTTGCAAAGGACAGGAAAAGCCTACAGAATGGTCATTGTCTTGGCACAGTCCTCTTCAAATCAGTTTTCAGAGTAAAAAGAAAATATGGTCAGTATTTGGAATAACAAGAGGGTTTGTTTATAATTAGCATTTTTCTTTTCTCAGTGGCAGCTTGGGAGTTCCACAGAGCTCCTACTCTGCAAATTGTAATAGGGGTCTGTTACAATACATTGTTGGCAATGGCTGTGTGAAACAACTGAAAAGTCTAAAAAAGGCCATTGTAAGCTCTGTACAACAGACAGCCCCTGAAACTCAGGAAGCATCACGTTTGTTCTTGGCATGTATCCCTACATCGGGTGAATGGAAAAACGGTAATCTCTGACACCTTTATGGCAGACGCAGAAAGAATGGGGCGATCCAATTACTTTGCCCATGCTCCAGATAATCTGGGGAGAACTGTGCCTGCTTGTAATCCTGATGCACTAGTAGTTTATCCCCATTCCTTGCACTTTACAAGGCCCTGAATAAGGTGCAGCTGCTAATGCATTAAGAGCACTCTTTCTCTCACTTCCCACTTCATGAATCATGCTTTATAAATGTTTATCTCTCATGTTCCACCTACACTCACATAGTTTAGGAAAATTCATAAAAGACAGCCTAAAAGCAAATTCTACAACTAAATAACCATTCCTGCATCATGAAAGGTATTTCTGTTCATCCCAGCTCTGGGCTATGTGTTACTCTGTATCCCATGCCACAGCAGTTCCCAAACTTCCTTCTAAGGAGGAATGCCCTGGGAAGGGGAAGTAAAGTGGTTTGAAACACCATATGCAAACATTTCCTTTCTGCTCAGGCTTTGTGAAGTTTTGGGACTGACTATTGACGATTTGCCTGGATAAAGTAGAAAGAACAGGAACTTTAACCTGTCCAACAAGACTTAGCTACTGACATGAGTTGGTATGGTAGGACAGCCTGGTGTTTGTCTGGGATTTCAGTACACACACATGCTGGTGTCTTGTTTCCCATGATTCTCAGTGGGAATGAACGTGCACACAGCATGTCTGTCAGTGCTTCCTGAGCCAATTGCATAGGTGTGTTGTTGCTGTTTAGCTTGAGCAGTGGCTCTGACATGACCCTATGTACAGTGAACATGCCAGAAAATTTTAGGTATTCAGCAATCTAGCTGTCTCAGAGATCCAATATCCAGAAATCCTGTATGAGTATATCAAGTCCTCAAATCCCTCTGGGCAGATTCCAGTAGAAAAGGGGACATATCTAGGGAAAAATTATATGTACAGCAGTCCTGGGACAGGATCTAATAGATTTTGGTGCACGCTAGTGGCACAGCGGGGTGTGAATAGTTGCATAAGTGGGAGGGAAGCTGCTAACAACACATGAGAACATACGTGCAAATGTAGAAAGGTTCACAGGAAGAAGTATTTTTTTTAAAGTAGTATCAACTGATGCAAAAGGACAGGCAGTTATCAAGAGTGGAAGGACTCAGAAGCGGTATTTTCTTCTGGACATGAGGAAACATCAGCTCCAAACTATCTTTCATTTCACGCAGGCTTAGGGTCCACCTGGTTTTGGAGCTTTGTCAGTCCTAAAAAGGAATCCAGACTCCCATGAGTGAAATTTCCCTAGTCCTTCTACTTTATTTAGATCCTTAAACCCTTCCAGAGTCATGCTGTGATTAGGCAGACTCTCCCAGCTGTAATTCTCACTTCTGGTGTCTATCCAGCAAGCCTTTCTGCTGATTTACTGCTTCTCTGTGTTTTCTTAGGGCCTTGAGGTATTTTTCCTGACCATTTCAAATGTGATTTGTGCTTTAACATCAAAGCTGGGGGCTGGAACAAATGGAGTACACTTTTGAGACAAGACCATTTTTGACACACAACAAAATCCAGGATGTCTTCTAGTATAGTTGAAGGAATGAGATAGCCACATTCAAAATTAAGTTATCCATGAATATAGGGAGTTTATACTCCACTAAGTGATCCTTGTTCCTCTAGATTATGCAAATATATTATACTTTTCATTGCAAGGGGATGTAAAACACCTGCTGCAGTGATAGGCTGTGGCATTATATACTTACTTGAAAGTGTTGACCACCATTTTTACAATCTACTTTCATTTTCTCATAGGAACAGTGTACATAGATGCAACACTAATTCTCTTCTGACAATTTACCAACTTGTATTTGCTCTCATATACTTGGATCAGCCTGGAAAATTGGGTGTCCTCCACTCTTCTGGAATTAATCTGACCACCTACCACTTTGTTGATAATTTTGATAGGTAACCAAATGTTTTTCTTCCTGGTACCAGAAAATAGCGAGTTCACATGGTTTGTTACACTACCCTTGGCCCTGCAAAGGGCCTGGATATGTGTACTCAGTCCCATCTAAAGAAGACCCTAGAGGAAAGTCTTTATAAAAATGCTCAGGGTGGTCAGATGTAGAGCTGGCTGTCATGCCTAGCTGGAACAGCAGTCTGACCAACATTTGTATGATTAATTCCAGTATACCCAAACCAGAGAATGATGTAGTAGATTGTGTATTTAAAAAAAAAAATCAAACAAAACAACAGCAAAACCACAACACCCAAACAGCAAGCAAACAAAAACCCACTCTCAAACATGCATGGATTCTAACCTGAAAGATTTCTTAGGGAAGACAAGAACTCTATAACCCAGGAGATGTGGCCATTCTTCAGAAAACTCGTGCAGCAAACTGTACTTAAATTACTGCATAGAGGATCTCTGTCAGAAAATATCTCATACAGTATTAGACAACCCTTGCAGAGGGTCAGTTGAACAGGTAGGAGGGGCTCCTTTAGAAGCCTCTCACTGACAGCTGAACGTACAAACCCCTTCCCTTCACCACATTCAAAATAATGTCCACACTGGAGACTTTGAATTTTCCTGGTTTCCATACAGCAGCAAATACCACAGACATCAGTCACACTTGCCAGCTCTAGTCTTCCCTCTGAGTTGCTCTATGCTAACTATATTTCATTCCCTGTTTCCGCTGCCTTACTTCCCTTTGAGCTGTTTGTGACAGGCATCAAATGTTTCTTCCAAGAATGCATGCCTTATAAAGCAAAGGGAAAGAAAAATTAAATTAAGAATAGCTTTTTTGTGGCTTCATTAGTGGATACAATTTATAGTGATCCTATTTCCTTTGAAAGATAGCCAAAATAAAACTAGAGAGAGAATTCAAAGAACGTAGAGATCTGAAGTATTATAGTACACTTGATTTTAGCACAGGTACTGTAGAGGATACTGGGGGCTTCCAAAAGGCAACAAATCATACTTGCCTGTCTTGAGGAAACTTTAGCTCAAACTTTAGTTCTGTGGAGAATTTCAAGGACAAAGGACTTCTCTCCAAGCTAGCAGTCCTTCCCTTTCTGCATGCTGCATAAATGTCAGCTGTGGATGAAATTCAGTCTTCTGCAAATCCTAACAAAAGGTGTTTCACAGACCTAAATGGGATCTAAGGGGTGGCCTTTATTTTTCACATAAGGGTGAATAAGCACCATCAGATCACTAAGGAGCCAGGAAGTGAGCAGAAGAGCACCTACAATTCTCAGATCTTCATTGAAAAATAAAAGCCAGTGATCACAGAAAGGCAGAAGGGTATTCCACCCTTACAAAAGGCCACGTTTCTAAAAAAGGCAGCTTTCTGCTTCAGATACTCTGGTGATTGAAATTTTGTTTTCATCACAAGCTTTTTTTTTATGCAGAGTAAGTTGGATTTTTATGTCTGTTTCCTCTTCTCAGAAGGCATTTGAATGTTTTTGTTCAGATACAGTGTCTTTTGAAGAAGGAAGAAAAAAATACCTTCTTGGAAGTGAAGTCTGGATAACTTAAGCCAGTTAAAGAAGGCATTTACCCTATTAAATTCAACTGTATCAGGTAGACCAGGTGTGGTGACCAAGTACTTAACATCTCCCACAAGCATTTTGTATTTAGTCCACTGTGAAGAGAAGTAGCAATTCTTTTTCTGTGATACTTTAAAGCATTAGTGAAACACTGGCCCAGGTTGCCCAGAGAGGTGGTAGATGCCCCATCCCTGGAAACATTTCAGGTCAGGTTGGACTGGGCTCTGAGCAACCTGATCTAGTTGAAGATGTCCCTGCCCATGGCAGGGGGGTTGGACTAGATGACCTTTAAAGGTCCCTTCCAACCCAAACTATTCTCTGATTAGAAAACATATTAGAAGTATTTCTGCATTGAACTTTAAGGCATGGACAAGAGGAAAATAAGCCCTACTTTATCAAATTTTTGGAACTCTCTAGTTCCATCTGGTTTTCGATGGGATGAATGCCAGATTCTACCAATACAATTTCTTCCTTCTGTTTCAAAAGCTTCATGCCTTAGTTAAGTGCCCTCATAAATCTGTTGATTCCAGTATTTTGCAGTTAAGATTTAACAAAAGACTTATCTGGAGTGTTTGTTATTCATCAAAATTTAATGCTTTGTATGTCATTTTGGTGCATCAGTGCCCGATTGCCAAACTGACATCTCAGTGGCCCTGTTACTGAGATACAGGAACCCATGGTGCTGGCTGGAACAGCAGATTACAGGCATATAATTACAGTCAGTAAACAACTGAGGAGTAAATAATTGCGAACAAGTAAGATCACTATCTGTGAAATCCTGCAGCAGAGGGAAGATGCTTAGCAAAGGGAGCATGCACAGCTGGGCAGAAGGAGAAAAGGCAGCCAGCGAGGGGCCAGACCTGTCACCGAGATGCACTGTCTCGTCTCAGCAGAGAAAGTTACCATTTCTGTTTGTGAAGCCTTCTCTTCTGAAAGAAGTGCTCTTTTTTGCTTTTGTTGTTACGCTTCTAAAAGGACACAAGTTAAACAAAAAAGCTTTCCACATGCTTCCATCCATGTGGAAGAGACTATTCTGGAGCTGCGCACGGGGAACACACAGCTGCTGTACTGCCTGCAGCACCATCCCACTGCCGCCGCACCGTGGGCAAAGCCTGGAGGGCAGCAGCAGTGGAGCATGTCTTGTTCAGGTACCAGCTTAACTATAATTATTTTTGGGCAGAGCAGGAAGAGGCAGGAAGGACAGGACAGGACTATAAACAGCAGTAGGATGAAGAAACATAGTATGTGGGAAGCTGTTGATGAAATATACTTACATGTGAGCTAGCAGAAACACAAGCACTTAAGGAGGCATTACGGTTATAGTAGAAGTACAGTTTCTTTAGCGTGAGACCATGATGGCCGGTATTTATAGTATGTGAGCGCCACTGGCAATTTGCTTGTGCAAATCAGATGTAGTCTTTAGGCAAATGTGCATTTTCCTAACAGTTAAACTGCAAAGAGGCAAGAATATTCCTAGCTGACTAGTAAGCGTAGGAGGCAGACTTTGTTACAACCTGCAATCATTTAAAACCCAAATATTTGTTAAAAGTATTGAAAATTATTACCCTTTTGAGATCCTGACTTCAGAGGGGAAAAACCACCAGCATCAGCAAAGCTGTCTCAGCAGCAGCTACAGGGCAGGAAATGTGGCCAATCTGCAACAAGATGAAAAGCATTTTTCAAGTCACCAATAGCCCATTTTTTGTCAGATTAGAAAGTATAATGGCATTAAGGGATTATATCTAGAAACTGTGGTAATATGAAGGGAAGTCACAGTAGCTACACCTAAGTTTTTGCATGTGGTAAAATATTTCTCCTGGTCTCTGACCAGCATGTGCTAGTGTGACTCAGGTTGTGAAAAGGGTAAATTGGAGGTGATAGGCTACAGATGTAATGCAGCCATGGTTTTGATAAAACTCTGTCTATAGCTCTGCAAAAGATGATTATATCTTTTAGACAGTTCAGCTACCCCCAGCTCAAGAACAGTCCCTGTTAGCCATTTTCATTAGTTCCTAAAAGGAATCCATAATAATTTCTTCACTCCCAGTAACTCAGAGGCAAACACTAGGGATAAGTTCAGTTGGAGAGGTATACTTTGTTAGGGAAATCGGCCTTGATCTGACATCAGCAAGGCTGCCACAGCTCCATGACCCAGGCCCAACCAGTTGTGAGGCTGAGCATGTATTCCCAGCAGACAGATGCACACAGAGTACATGTATATAACACATATATACATGCATGATTGGTCACACAGATCACAGACACTCAGAGCACTCACATAAACACAGACTGCACCAATGGCCTCCAGCCTGCTCCCCTCTCTGGCTGAGCAGGATGGAGATCCACCAGCAG